CCATAAGATGCTTGTTTGTCTTCTTTTTAAGACTAACTCACATTTATTATTTGTTTATATCAGCGCCATTGTGGCATTAGTATTAAGTGTGTTCCTTATCTACATTGGTGTATAGATTTTATGAGTCATGTATAATAAATTTAATTGTTATAATTATTTATTTTAAAATTCATTCATAGAGTCCCTCACCTTAATCCTTTTCTTCGACATAATCTGACTTAAGACAAATTAAAACAACTAACGTTAACGAACCTGCGTGAATACCACCGGGCGCTGCGTTTATTCAAAATAAATATTTAAAGTTAGGATAGATATCTTATTAAAACAGAATAATTTGAAAAAAAAATTCAAATGTTTAAAATAATTAATTGACGTTTTATTTTATAATAAGAAAAAATAAATAAAACATCATTTAATAAACATACTTAAATTAAAAGATTTGACAATCAAAATTCACTTTAAAATTTTTCTTTTAGATAAAAATTACATACTACGATATTTTTTTTTATAATATATTTTATAGCATCATATTATACTTACAGCATTTCATTGATATTTGTTTGGAAGTAAACTATATTTTTTTGTAATTATTCTTTCTTAATAATATTTTAGTGCTATCTAGTGATGAGTAGTATAAACTAATAGTGTATTATATTTTTAAATGTTTTCAATAGTTATGGGTCGGTTATTTTAGCTTCGATGCGAAGCTGAGAAGGTATTGGTTTTACTAAGATGTGTTTTTTTTTTTTGTGTCTGTTACCACTTTTTCTCAGCTCTCACCCAACCGATTTCTTTCAATGATACGTCAAAAGATCACAAATCGTATCTAATCGAAGACATTACCCTCAAAAATTGAAAAAATTCCCCTCGTCCCTCGTAAATGGGGGAAACCTCCAAAAAAATTACAATTTTAAAAATCGCTAATTTTCGAAATTTTTTCAATTTTTTTTACTAAAAACTGCCGTAACTTTTTTAAAAATGAACATATCAATATAATTTTTTTTTATATAGATGCATGATATCATTATCTTTCATTTGGTATATTTTTTTTATAAATCTGTCTTTTTACCTGCTCACAGGAAGGGATTTAAAATGATAACTTTTTCACAAAAAATTAACTTTTGAAAGTGTTACGTGAAGTCTGACACTTTTATATATACCTTAAATTAAAGCTAATGTAATATACTTTATCATGAAAAAAAAAATGCGGACTTTATTTTATCTTCAGGCTGAAAATGGCTACCGGAATGCTATTTTTGTGTGAAAATGTTCGATTTTGTATTTTCCATTTTTAACTTTATTATGCTATAACTTTTTGAAAAATGTATGGATCATTACAATTTTTTTATGAGAAGTAGTATTTATATAAATCTTTTATTCGACATACTTTTTTTTTAAATCGGACCAATTCCCTTAATACAGGAGGGATTCAAAACATTAAAATGCGTATAGAAAGTAGAACTTTTTCAACTTAACTTTTGAAAGTGTTCTGGAAGGTCTGAACTTTTATATATATCTTAAATTAAAGTTAATGTAATATACTTTATAATGGTAAAAAAAAATTTCGGACTTTATTTTATCTTCATGGTGAAAACAGACATTAAACTTAATAAAAAAAAACCCAGCACAGGGGGTCGCGGCACAGTGGTGACGTGGCATAGTTGGATCAAGTATAATGATATCTGACAGTGATTAAAATCACTATCAAAAAAAAACGCTTCGATGCAAATCTTTAGATAGTGTTTAATTTTAAAAAATTGGTGGATTATTCCAAAAGCTTCATAAACTGCTAGTTCCTTATTAATATCCTGATTAAGATAAAGTATGTCGAATGAAAAAGGGATTATTAAAAAATAGTATTTCCCATAAAAAAATTATATTGATCAATACACTTTTCAATAAGTTATAGNTATTAAAAAATAGTATTTCCCATAAAAAAATTATATTGATCAATACACTTTTCAATAAGTTATAGCATTATAAAGTTAAAAATGTAAAAAATAAAATTGAGAATTTTCACACAATAATAGCATTTGGTAGCCATTTTCACCGTGAAGACGAAATAAAGTCCGAAATTTTTCATGATAAAGTATATTACATTAACTTTAATTTAAGATATACAGGGTGATTTTTTTATCATAACCCACTCAATTACTTGCAGAATAATAATAATTTAAACATTTTTTTTTTTTATTATTTTTAGTTACACATTATTCTTGAATTTTTAACTAAGTAATACTTTTTAAGTTCATCCCTTATGCCTTGGAGGGGGGTCAACTTTGTTTTTTTAAATGGTAACACATATTTTTAATTTAATAAAATGTTTGAGTTTTTAATTTAATAGTAAATGGCATTTGAATTTTTAATATAACTTTATTAGCTTATTAGATATAAACATTTAAAGTTTCAAAATTTTGAGTTAATATACATGTATAATACACATGGGATTGTAAATACAGGTAGCTAATTGGATTTTTATGACATTTCTGTCTCAGTCACGGATTGTTTATTATCATTTATTATAATCAATAGATATACTTTCTGTATTGTCAGTTAGTGTATTTATAAACTCATATTAAGATAATGATATCATGCATCTATAAAAAAAAAATTATATTGATATGTTCATTTTTAAAAAAGTTACGGCAGTTTTTAGTAAAAAAAATTGAAAAAATTTCGAAAATTAGCGATTTTTTAAATTGTAATTTTTTTGGAGGTTTCCCCCATTTACGAGGGACGAGGGAATTTTTTTCAATTTATAAGGGTAATGCCTTCGACTAGATACAATTTGTGATCTTTTGACGTATCATTGAAAGAAATCGGTACGGTGAGAGCTGAGAAAAAGTGGTAACAGACACACAAAAAAAAAACACATCTTAATAAAACCAATACCTTCTCAGCTTTGCATCGAAGCTAAAATACGATTTTTGTAAAAAAATTCTTTTTTATAATTTTACTTTATAATGTTATAACTTTTTGAATGATGTATGGATCAATATATTTCTTTTTTTTTTGATGCAAGATGCTTTACCTATCATTTGTTATATTTTTTTTATAAATCTGATTTTTTACCTCCCTACAAAAAGGGATTCAAAATGACAACTTTTTCACAAAAAATTGACTTTTTCAACTTAAATTTTGAAAGTGTTTCGGAAAGTCTGACACATTGATATATATCTTAAATTAAAGCTAATGTAATGTACTTTATTATGTGAAAAAAAAATGTCGGACTTTATTTTGTCTTCACGGTGAAAATGGCTACCAAATGCTATTATTGTGTGAAAATTCTCGATTTTATTTTTTACATTTTTAACTTTATAATGCTATAACTTATTGATTAAACCCAACCCAACCCAACCAATCCTTAATATTGAAAAGTGTATTGATCAATATAATTTTTTTATGGGAAATACTATTTTTTAATAATCCCTTTTTCATTTGACATACTTTATCTTAATTAGGATATTAATAATGAACTAGCAGTTTATGAAGCTTTTGGAATAATCCAGCATTTTTTTAAATTGAAACACTATCTAAAGATTTGCATCGAAGCGTTTTTTTTTTGATAGTGATTTTAATCACTGTCAGATATCATTATACTTGATCCAACTATGCCACGTCACCACTGTGCCGCGACCCCCTGTGCTGGGTTTTTTATATTGTTGTACAAAATATATATAAATGAAAAACCATCTTAATTATATTGAAAAAGTAGTTCGATTTTGAATGTCACAGCGCATGACGACTTTCATGTAAATATATTTTACTCCGATTGGATACATTTCTCCAGAACTCTCTGTTTTCTTTATTCCAATGTTTTTTGACAATGACATTTAGGTAAGGATTATTTGGTTTATATAGTGTATTTAAGACCTACTTCTGATCTTCTTTGTTTTAACTTTTTCTTATATAATTGAACAATTTGTAAAAATACAAATTATAGTGAATTTTATCAAGTTTTTTTATAATTATGTGTATACTTTTGTTATAATTTTAAATATTATATAATTATATTGCCAAAAAGCCTATGTTGTTGTAAGACAGATTAAGTAATAAAAATGAAACTAAGTTCTTTATAAATAAATAAAATTTTGTTTTTACTAATATCAATACCACTTGGAATACAATTATTAAGATATGGTTTTTTTGTATATCAGAAGTTTTAGTTGATGTTTCTTTTGGAGAACGTGATGAGATTCGAGATGAATAGGAGCAAAGAGAATTTTAAATAAAAAGTATGAATGTCGTAAATTGAGACAAGAAACAGAACGAGAATACGAAAAAGATCGAGAACGTGACCTGGAACGCGGACGAGATCTTTACCGTTTATGATAACGTTTTAAATTTTGAATGGAACTCAGTTATGATTTAACGCTTTTTACTAATTATTATCATGTTTTCTAGAGGCCAAAAAAAAAAAACTCATTGTTAATTACAAAAAATTATCATTTTTTGTTAAGTAAATCTATTTTTACGTTTAACGAAATCTCATAAATATTCACAATTCTTTTACTATATTCCTTAATTATAGTTGAATAGTTTTATTAAATAAAAAAAATGTTCTGCATTTTAATTTAGTTTTTAAATTGTTAGATTTTTTATGAACATTTAGAACTTAAAAATTTTTTAATTAAGAAACATATGATGAAAATTATAATAGAAATTTAAAATTTTTTAATATTTACTTTATAAAAATTGAGACTGTATAATTTATACACATTTAATTTTCATTCAAAATATTCAGTTTTGATTTGAAGTATTAATATTATATTTGTTTTAAAATTAAATTAAAAAATTTCATTTACTTATATACATATTTACTATAAAAATATACTAAATGCTTATTATTTTTATATTTTATACATTTATTTTGATATCTTTATAGAAAATATGAAATAATGAAACCCAAAAAATTAAAATTGTGATTCTTCATTTTGAAACTCTTCATTTTCATTGATGTTTTTTGAATTTGACCCAATAGCTTTGCTGACTCTTCTAGAAAATCTATTGTACTTTTTTTTATTAACTGAATTGCCATCTTCGTCAACATCACATGCCGTGATAATAAATCCATTATCTTTTGGTATTCTCAGACTAATTATTCCAGAATTTTCAAGAAATAAAACTGGAGAATCATTGATCAATTTATCTTCTTTAATACGACGATTTGAAATTCTTTTTTTCATCATTTGAGAGTCATCAGAAACAGAGTTTCTAAAGCCATGCAAGTACAAATCTCTACATTTCTTTCTAAAAGCCTTATGATAATATATTAAAACTAATGGTACTATCAAGTCAAATATAATTGGTAATTTGGATAGATAACCATCTAAAATACTATCATACTTTTTATTTTCTATCCAAATATTTTCGTCCTGTGTTTTGTAAAGAAATGAACAAGACGATAAATATCCAGGTGTCACGAATACAGTATATAAGGAAAATATCCATTTAGACGGGAGGTCTTCAGGTTGAGATCTAATGAGATCACTCGAGTTTAATAAGCCTCTTGTGGCTCTAATAGTGGCCGATGATGGTCGAGAAATAAATACAAAGTAAAATGATATTGACCAAGGTATCATAAGACTAAATGTTATCAATAAAGTAGGATAAAACCATTCAGTTGAATTAGCAGTAAAGCCGCAACGACCCCTTTAAGAATAAAAAATATATACTTATAAATTATCATTTTACTCATGTATTATTTTAAATAAATCAATATAAAATATTTAGTTAAAATTAAAATGTATAATCAACATAAAATGATTATTATCTTCGGTGAGTAGCTGAGAAGCTATTGGTATATAAATAATTGTACTCCTATAGAATCGATCTTATTCAACGATACGTCAAAAAAAATCACAAAACGTATCTAGTTAAAGCTATTAGTGTCATAGTTTCAAAAAATTTCCTTGAAACTCATATTTAAGGAAATGTCATAAAAAATTACAGTTATTAAAAAACAGTCGACATTGAATCTTTTAGTTTTCACTTTTTATTGAAATAACTTTTTGAAAACAAAATGGATTATTGTAAAATTATTAATGATAAAATTTAAAACATTTTCCTTGCCAATGACATACAATTTTTGAAAACCCAATTATTAACTCAGGTAACGAGAGGGCTTGAAAATCATACAACATTTTTTTGAAATCTTCATTCATCTAGGAGTTATTAGGTATTGAAGTTAAAACCCATAAAATTCTCGATAATAATGGTCAATTTCAATTATTTTAGTGACGGAATACAATTAAAAGCTAAATACAATTAAGGATTTGTTGACATAATACTGACACACTACTAGCCATTAAAATGCCACTGCTACGTCAGTAGTGTTCATCAGTAATAGTGTAATATTAATAGCAAGTACAGAAAAACTATATAATCTGAAAAATATACCAGCACTATACCAAGAATGGTCAAAACTAATGTAGTATATAAACCTTTAAAAATTTTTAATTTGTAAAGTATACAGAGTGGTTGGCTAACTATGTCTCACGTAATATCTCAAAATATTCAGTTTTTATAAACAATTTTTTTTTTATTCATTATGGATCTTTGATGAGGTATTTCACAAGAAAATTAAAATTTGTACCACCATCCCTCATGCTTAAAACTTGTATCAACTTCATATTTTCAAATGGGAACCCTATTTTTTTACACTATTAGATTTAGTTCAATAAAATAATAGTTTGTAAAAATATATATTATTTTATTTAATATTAAGTGCTCCACAGCTCTCTAAAGTTTAGAATTTATTAAATAAAAATTATAACAGACTTGAACGTTATAGGTCGTAATCGATAAGCGCTATTCTGACTACGCGCGTTGACACAGTAAACCGACAGCTCTTATCGCTACATAAAATAATAATGTGACCATATTAGAAAAAATATTTAATTTTTTCATCAAATATCGTAAATTATGAAGTAACGTATCTCATTTAAAATTCATGATTTTTTATTATTTTTTTACTAAATTTTTTTTTTTTATGACGAACAAAAAAATTTTTAATTAAATTTTCGCTTGCCATTTTGATACAAGTTCAAAGTATAAGGTATGATGATAGAAATTAAATTTTTCCTGTAAAACAGCTCATCAAAGATTCATGATATTTTGAAAAAAAATTTGTTTATAACACTTGTATTTTAAAGATATTACGTGAGACATAGTTAGCCAATCACCCTGTATAGGATAACATCATCAGTGAATGAAAATCGCCAAGTTGATAAATAAAAAAATTGTGTAATCTGTTTGTGAAAAATTGTATTTATATTAAAAAATCTAGCACAGGGGTGCCGCGGCACAATGATGACGTGACATTGTTGGGTCAAGTATAATGATATCTGACAGTGATTAAAATCACTATCATAAAAAACGCTTCGATGCAAATTTGTAGAAAGTGTTTATTTTAAAAAAATTGTTGGATTATTCCAAGAGCTACATGATCTCCTATTTCCTTATTTATATCCTGATACAAGTTTTATGATTTATAAGTGTATATATTTATAATATATAAATATATAAGGGGAAATGATTTTATTTAAAAAAAAAGTATACTGAATGAAAGAAGTTTATAAATAATATTTATCATAAAAAAATTGTATTAATCCACATATTTTTCAAAAAATTATAGCATTATAAAATTAAAAATTAAAAAAGAATTTTTTTTACAAAAATCTTATTTTTTTAATAACTTTGATGTTTGATGTTGATAACTTTGATTGAAGTATATTAAAGTATATTACATAAGCTTTAATCTAAGATATATATAAACGTGTCAGTATTTTCGAAACACTTTCAAAAATTAGGTTGAAAACTTTCTAATTTCTATATGAATTTTTAAGATTTAAACTACCCCCCGTATAAAGGGAAATAGTCCGATTTAAAAAAAAGTATATCAAATAAAAGATGTATATAAATACTACTTCGCATAAAAAAATTGTATTGATCCATACAATTTTCAAAAAGTTTTATAAATATAAAGTTTAATATGTAAAATATAAAATCGAGAATTTTCATACGAATATAGCATTCGGTAGCCATTTTTACTGTGAAGACAAAATAAAGTCTGAAACATTACAATAGCTTTAATTGAAGATATATATAAAAGTGTCAGAGTTTCCGAAACACTTTCAAAGGTTAAGTTGAAAAAGTTAATTATTTGTGAAATTTTGAATCGCCCGTGGGCAGGTAAAGGGTAAAAATTATAAAAAAAATATATTAAATGATAGATAAATATATTATGCATCTAAAAAAAAAAAAAATATACATCAATTTTGTCATATTTAAAAAAATTATGGCAATTTTAAGTAAAAAAAATTGAAAAAATGTCGAAAATTAGTGATTTTTATTTTTGTCTTTTATTTTTTATCTTTTTGGAGATTTTCCCCATTGACGAGGAATGAAGGAAATTTTTTCAATGATTGAGGTTAATGTCTTCGACTAGATACGATTTGTGATCTTTTGACGTATCGTTGAAAGAAATCGGTTCGGTGAAATCTGAGAAAAAGTGGTAACAGATACAAAAAAAAAAAAAACATCATAGTAAAACTAATTCCTTCTCAGCTTTGCATCGAAGCTAAAATGAATGTATATTTACTTCTATTGTAATACATAAATTTGATAGAATATTATTAACCATTCATCCGATGGAAAATCCTGGTTTGCCACTTATAATAACTAATTAGAATGTTTGAGTATATTTGTTATGAATATTTTTGAATAATCATTATACATGATTTTTCAAAAAACCAACGTGTAATACTATTATGCGAGTAGCATCTAAATATTAATGGACAAAGAACTTTAAGAGATAAAAATATCTCTCAATTGTACATTCACTGTTGATGTTACTGTCTTTTTTTAATTAGTAAGATATTATAGTGAAAATAAAATAAATAAAATAAGAAAAGTTGAAATATTTACCTATATGAAAAGTATCTAGTAGAAAATAATAAGGTTGGTGTAAGTATGACGTAAGTATACATAGAAGGGACAGCCCATAGAACTGCAGCAGCTGGCAATGGTAAAATATAATTTGTTCGAGCAAATGTGTTTAAACAAGTTAGAGTTGCAAACGTAATAAGTTCTACCGTAGACAGTGCTGAAGTAATTGTTGCGATAACACGGCATGTTGCTGCAAACGAATTATCCGTTATAGATGAAGTTGTTATTGTTTCTGGCGTCCTTTCAAGTGTCAAAAGTTCTTTGGAAACCAAAAAATGGCTAACAGCACTATCCAAAGCACATTGAAGGCATAGAGCAGACACGAGTACGGCGTATGAAGACCGCAGTCTATCACTAGTTAGTATACCACTGAGTACCATTAAATTTGACACAAAAGCCATGGAAGACAAGGTTAGATACACAGCAGAGAAGCTCGTTGGCAATCGATATGATTGGCTTATGTCAGGCAATATCAATAATGTTCCGTTTTGATTGGAATTAAGTACTTTTAATTCCATTGACTTGTCCTTATAAAAATTGTACAAACTTCTATAAATTATAAATTATAATTGAGTTATAAATCAAATATCAAATTGCACACCTAAATTAAAACTGTTACAACTTAAAAATATAAAAAAAAAAACATTTTCCGTGCATATTTTTTTACATTACTAGAAGAATTTTGTTTCAAGTTGCAATAATTATGATTTAAGTGTGTGATACTATTTTAAATTGATTCAATTACTGATATTATTTTTAATTTATTATAAGGAATACAAAAATTTGATGTTTATTTTAATTAGTATATGTTAAACTACTGAAGAAATATTAGTACGAAAGGTTAACTTAGTGTTAAATTTTCAACATCATATTTGTATGCAATAGTGTGCAAATGTTAAATAAGAGAATATTACCAAAATATGCTTTCCTATAAACTTATTTTTAGTCATCAGATTTTTTTCAAATGTGTTTAATATCAAAACAATAAGTTTGTTCGCCTTAATAAATACTACACAAGATAGCCGGGATATCATGTTTGAGTAAGTAAAATTTATTAGTAAAAAATATAAAATAAGTTATTTTTGTATGTAAAATAAATAATACTATAATAATAATTATAAACTCTTTATCATTATAATAAGCCTAATATTTATTGCATTTCAATGATAATAATTAGAGGCCGAATTACATGCCCTTATTAAAAATAAATAGCGTTTATTATAAATAAACGCTCATAAGGGCAAAATACAGTATAATCAGGTTATCAGTATGTAATTGTTAAAAAATAATATTTTTTACTATTTAATATAGATTTAATTTAATTTACATAACAGTAAGAGAAATCAAAATTAGGACAACTATTACAGGCTGACAACATATGGCATAGCGGACTAAACATAATTATGAGAGCATACTTTTACAGATTAAAGTATATTATTATGACAAGTAAAACAACTAGTGTCATTAAAATCTATTCTCTCGAGAATTTTAAGACAATCAATTTAATTGTTAATAATTTTTAATAAAAGAATGATAACAAAAATACTCTTCTGATTAATAGAAATTATAAACTAATTACATTAGCTTTTGCAGTTAGTGGTGTATCATTCATACTTAACATAAATTCATCACATTTAAAAAATTAGGTCAAAGCTTTTTTAATTTATTTGATAAATCTAACTGCCTAATATTTCATATAAACGAGCGAAAGTTCTAACACTGATATTACCGATATAGAAGATGATTGATTAACTATTTCTCATGTAAAGTCTTTAAAAATATATAATATATAATTATGTTTATTTTTAAAAGTTAATAATATACTATGTTCTATAGTTTTCAAAAATAAAAATTAAAAGTGGGTTCTCTCCCTCCTTTTTGTCCTTTAAAAGTAGTATCGACTTAAGTTTTTTTAAATGGACACGTATATTTAAATAGCTTAAAGATAAGTAAAAGATTTAACATACAATAATATAAGAAAAATATAAACGGGGTCTGTTTATTTTTATCTCGAAACATATAAAAATCACAATACTCTTTTCACTCTAGTATAAAAATGTTTTATCTTTTCAATAACTGCTTCTAAAGTTGTTATCGAATTGTCATTTTTTTATTTTTAAGCTAATTAAACATATATGTTTCCATAAAAAAACTTAAGTTGATATTACTTTAAAGAAGAGAGAACAATTTTTTTTTTTTTTAATTAAAAAAACATAGGAACTATTAATTTCTAATAATGAAAAATTATGATATTTTTTATATTTTTAAAGATTTATCGTGAGACGAAGTTAATCAATCTATTTTGTATAAGACTTATAAATAAAGAATAGTGGATAACTCCCAAAAATTTTCCTTTAAAAATCATAAGCCTCTCAAATCTTTGTTATATATAAGGTTAATATGTACATTAAAAGTCAAGTCTGAACTAGTCAAAACTGCTAAGTCCCTAATCATACTTACAAATACACACATTTTAAAATTTTTTTGTGTAATGTGCTATTAATGAGGTTATAGTTTTAGGGGGAATTCGGTAGTAAACTATGATACCAAATTCATAGATATATTATATTTATCAATACTACCAGGTCTAACTAAATATTAAGTTATTTTATTCACATCATGTATAAAATATGCAGTTCTATTTATACATATTATTGTCTATTAATTAAAGGCATTAAACGATAATATGGCGTAATTGATGAAAAAAAAAAACAAAAATTTAGTTAGGAAACTAAATTAAACTGATAAAAATTTAACTTAAGTCAGCTACTATATTATTTTGAGTAGCAACTGATCCCATGGGGAATATATTTCTCATTTCCTCTGCCTCAGCGTAATCCATTTAAAAGTTGTAATTCTAAAATTAATGTTTTTACTAGTGTATTATTTAATTTAAATTGCATAAACATTTGCCCTATCACGTGAATAACGAAAAATAATTAAAATATTATCTAAAAGTAAAAATTTTGAGTGAAATTAACAAAGAATTGATTACTTTGCAAATATTTATGTAAATTAAGTAAAAAACTTCAATCTGACATTTAAAAAATGTAAAATTGTGAAGTTCATCGTAATAAACTCATAAATAACTGTAGAACGCAATTTTAATGTTTATGTAATATTATTTTCTAAAACTATGTTTAGTGTTATAAATTTTAAATTACAATTGTAAAAAAATGTATAATTTACCTGACGTTTTAATTAGATTGACGCAGCATAATAATTAAGTGGCCTGTCACAAGTCAACCTCATTAGTGTTGTAGAAAATTGAGTTTTCAACAGTCTAAAAATTCATAAAAAAAACTTATTAAATATATTTTAATTAATTACGATTCAACGTGAGAATATTAATAATTTCTTGCAGAAGTTACTACAAAAACAGAATTATTATATAAAATTAAACGTATATTTTGGATTATATATTTGCTTGTGATTAACTCATTTTGTGATAACGATGTATTCGAATTTTGAGTACAGAATAATGCATAGTTATCAGAAATATTAACCACAGTACCACCTCTGTCCTGTTATCGGTTTGTTGCCCCTAGAAACCATTCTGGACAACAGCTATATGCGTGAGGTCTACCGTATATAACTTTGAGGTATAGTAATAAAATAATAGTGATATTGTTGTCGTGTGGATAATTTAATCGATTTAGGTGTAAATGTCCTTCCGATCCATCCCGTAGTTTATATTAACGAAAAATTGAATTATAAATAAATATGTGTTTATTATATAAACAATTTTTTTAAATATTATTGTAAATATTTAAAAATATCATTATGTTTGTAATGACGAGTTTTCGTCGTAAGTAGAAGTAAAATTTATATATATATGTCAGGTTGGTACTCATTTTTTGAACTAAATTATTTGATAACGAGTACCCCAAACATTGTTTTATGTATTATGAAAATAAATTGGAGAAAATTTGGTTGTAATAAGTTAACCCCTTTCCGTGCTTCAAAAGGGTTGAAGTGGATTTTCATTTATTTTTCTTGTGTTTAATTAAATATGAATGTTACATAAAAAATGTATTGAATCATTATTGTAGAAATGTATATTTACTAAAAAAAGTTCCTTTTGTTTTCAAGTATCTTTAAAAATAACTCTCCATTACAAGGCGCTTCAATAGCATTAGGAAAATTTGATATATAACTTGATAATAAAACAACAAATCACCTTAATGATATAATCTTAGTAACTGTAATTTAAGATTGTTTTTTTAATGTAAATAATTTCAAACAATATATTTTTTGCAAATCCATCTAGTGTTTAAGTGGTATCCCACCAAAAAAAAAATTATTACTAATTCTAAAAATTCTTTATAATCTTCCTTAAGTTGATTTTAATTTAATGTATAAAACACTATAACTTCATCAATTACGTTTTACAATATTATTTTGACCCCTATGATATTTTTTCAAGTACAAAATTTTGTTTAGTCTATCTCATTCAATCATTCTTGAAACGCTTAAAAATAGGAATTTTGGTACCGAATATTTTTGTTAGTTTGGAGTATGGGAAAAACAGATTGAAAAATAATTTCCTATATGTGTTGACAAGCAAAAAAAAGTATTGATTTTGTTTAGCATTTGTTCCAGTAGCATACATGCTCCATTATTAGAATATCCACTGTTAGAAGCCGTTCTGTCAAAGACAAATACTCGGACGTTTACTAACATATTCCATTAATTTATTGTGTCATACATTGCAGATAAAATTACTTTTCTAGTCCCAGATGATAAATTTGGTACCCCATGAAGTTGTTCTACGTCGGGATCAGTTATAATAACCGGTAATTGATCCCTATTTTCTGATCCAGACAAATTAGAGAGGATTTAAGAATCCCAATGTGCAAATTATACAATTTAAATTTAATTGATGAAACACTGTTTAAGTTTTGATAGATTGACACAGAAAGAGGTCGACTTATCACAACCAAACTTTCTCAAAATTATTTTCTTAAAATATAAAACAAAAGTTAGAGTACTCGTTATCAAATTTCTCAAAAAAATTTGACCTCTTTAAATAAGGACCACTATGATATATATATATATATATATATATACATGTAATCTATAATATTTAATAATAGAACATTTAATTACAAAATATGTTAATTATAATTATAATAATTATACTAATAATTAATTATTCTTAAAAATTAATAAGAATTTCTGTTTTATGTTTCGTAATTATACTTAAAAATCATTATAGATAATGCAATGCTATTTGATTACAATACAGTACAATTAACGTTGTAAATATGTTTTAATTTATAACTACATATTTAGAAAAACAGCATTATCATATAAAAAAATTTAAATATTTATTTAAAATAATGACATATTTAAATGTATATAATATATATATAAACAGTGTCATTTAAAATAATCATTTTAAACAGTATAAATGTTAAAATTAACCTCTATCTTACGATGGTTAAAATTCCTTAAAACATTACTCTTAAATAATTATCGGCCAATACTAATTAAATTCATTTATGCTCAAAAGCTAATAATACTAATAATAATAATCAGGTAAACTAGTATCTCGTTAGTTACTACTTCTTTAGCATGTCGAGCAATTAAAAATAATTTACATTATTTTTTTTTACACAATTTTTTTATCATTTGTTTTAATCTCAATATAATTAGTTTTATATAAAAATTAAATTATTTAGGTAATGAGAGGAGAGTTTATAAAAGAATCCAGGACTTTACAGTAATGAAGTTATGGTGTAATGAGAAAAGAATATACAAAAATTGAGGATCCGGTGGTTGGGAAATATAAAGAGGGACATGAATAATAGTCTTTAAAGACGATGTGGAATAGATTTGCTAGTTGTGACAAGAATACTGTAAAAGAGATTGTTTGTGAGACTAGGAGTAGAATGAAACAAGGAAATTAGGAAACCTCCTAATGGGATGAGGACGTTCAAAAAATCATAGAATGTAACAAAAAGTAGTTCAAAGTATAGCTAAAGAGTAAAAGAAGAGAAGTTTGAATGGTGTATAAATACTTGTGCAAAAAAGCCAAGTGGGCATTAAGTAAAACAAAGTTTAAGAGTTTGGTTTTTTGCCTAGAAAATGAACGATAATAGAGGATATATATGATTAGGACAGAGTAACAAGTGTGAGCAAAGTAAAAAAAGATTTTAGGGTAAAAGTAAGATTGCACCAAGGTTCTGCTTTAAAACATTACTTATTTATTATAGTGATGGATGAAATTACGACAAAAATACAAAGAGAGATATCATTGTGAATATTACTTGCTGATGATATAGTGTTAATAAGATAAAATAGGGTGGAAATTAATCCAAGACTACAGGTTTACATATAAATCAGTTTATTTATAATAACAAATAAAATTTTGAGAATGCTAAAAACTCAATAACAATTTAACACACATGAGAGTGATTATTCGCTGCTATTGCTCTCACTAGAACTGCTACTGCTGCTTGATTTAGATTTAAGTAATTTTCTTTTCATCTTTAAAGAAGACACTTTACCAGATATTCCAAGTTTAGATGATGATATTTTTTTTAATTCAAGAATATCATTGTCAATACAATTATTATAACTGTAATATTGATACAATCTATTTTGGAATGCGCATCTACTTACTTCATCGTTATTTTTAATGTAACTGATATATAATTGTTCCAAATCGTTCAATCCCTTCTTTTGGAAGAATGAACATAGTTGACGTCTATTATACTTGTTGAATAAATCAAAAATATCTTCACCNATTATACTTGTTGAATAAATCAAAAATATCTTCACCGCTTGATGTTTTAACTACATTAACTGACACACTCTTTGAGATAGAGCTGGAGGTTG